AAAATAATAATAGTTAACACTTTTTGAGTGTTTTTCTATGTCAAGCAGCATGCTAAGCACTTTGTATGTATTAATACATTTACTCCTCAAGATGACCCTATGAAGTAGGTCCCCTTTCTACAGGTAGGAAAATTAGGAGGTAGAGTGAGGTCTCCAAGGTCACACTGCTGATTTCCATCGCCTGGGGGTGGGAGGGGGTGGATAGTGAGCAATGGGGAGCAGCTGTAAATACAGATGAAGCTTTGCTCACTCACCCACCACTCACCTGCTATGCGGCCCAGTTCCTAACAGGCCATGGACCAGACTGTACCAGTCCAAGGTGGGGTGGAGGAAGGACTGCAGGGTTAGCACAGTTAAACTAATTAACATATCCATCACCATCCATGGTTACCATTCCTGTGCATGGGAGTGGGGAGATAACGACATTTAAAATCTGCTTTCTTATCAAATTTCAAATAAATAATACAGCACTATTAACTATAGTCACCACGCTGTACATTAGATCCCCAGAACTGATGGTTGCCAGGGGATGGGAAATGGGAAGATGGGGAGGTGCTGGCTTCCACTATTTAAGCTGTTCCCCAAATGATATAATGATGGGACTTTGACGGTCAACGTAATCTGAAATTCTCCCAGCTGTGAAGAGTTTAGGATACACTGGAAACATACTTCTCAGACCATATCTGCTTTTTTTTATTACTTCTTACTGTGAATTTAGTATTTTCATTATTATTTATAGCTGACATGAAAATTATACATATTTCTGGAATACAATGTGATGTTACAACACATGTGTACAATGGGTAATGATCCAATCAGGGTGATTAGCAAGTCCACATCTTCTTTTTGTTAAAAAACATTTTTTGTTAGCCACACTGCTTTGTGCTTCGGGGGCAAGACTGGGTTTTTGTATCCTAGGTGCCAATTCTCTCTGACACGAAAGGTGATGCTAAGTAATTTGTGTGGATGGATGGTGGAAAATTGGATAGGTTCATGTTCCTAAGACCAGCCTATCTGTGAATGGTTCTTAGGCAAGACCCAATGCTTCCAGATGTCCGTACCTTGACTTTCACTTCCCTACCCCCATAGAGTAACACAAACATGGAACATGAGAAAACAGAGCTCTTTTCTTTATAAAATGTGCAGGGGTAAGGCGCCTCCCTCCAGGCAGCGGCAAGCATGGAGAAGGGAGAACTGTTCGCTGATGTGGAGGACACGGCCCCGACTGGTTCTGCTTCTGACCATTTTCTTTCCTCTCTCAGGTGCTCCATTACACACAAAAGGTTCACTCATCACGAGCACCCAGAAAGAGGTTTTCTTCACCAAAGATGGGGAGGTAGTGACAACCTTTGACGTCGAAAACATCTACATCCTCCCAGATAAGACAGGACAAACAGCCATTGTTGGACACTTTGACTTCAGAGCACCTTCTGGAAAAGAGCTTCTGATAAAGGACAGTTTTATTGTCTGGGCAGAAGGATTCTTAAAGGTGAGCGCTGAGAACCAAGACCACACACCTCCCACACCCGGAGCACCCAAGAGTATTTGTTATGTTGAAGTGACTTAGGATACTTGGTCAAAAGGGATGAGTTATTGATTTACACAACACTGAGGGTGTTCAAAAAATAAAGCCTTCCAGAACTACTCCCTGCCTCCCTTTAGCGAGGGAGCTTGCTAAAAGCAAAGTAATTAATGAGTAAATGGGAAAATAAATTATATACAATCGCCAATTCTAGTTTACCCTGAGATAACCAACTCCAGATGCCTGAAGTTGCTACTGTTTTAGACTTGCAATCTTATCTCAAGAAATAGACATTGGATGCTGAGTTTTTTTAAACAGTGGAAAATAACCCACGGAATCCCATTAGTCCTTTCCCAGACCCCCTAAGTATCTAAGGTCACCAGATGGGAGAATTCTAATTTAAGTGCAGCTACATCTCAATTCTCATGTCTCCATGCTTCCTGCAGTTTTCTTCAGCTCACGTAGGGAGGGTTAGACACTCCCTTCTCTGAGCAACTATAGCATTTTCCACACACCTCTATAATATGAATAAGAAAATGACTGTAACGGGCATAATATTTTCTATCCCCATCCTCAGTGATTTCAAACCAGTTCCCTCTGGCCTCACCTTGGTCAGGTGTGTCTTTTTCCATTCCCACAACTAATACACCTCAACATCCAAAGTCCCCCACCCTGAGAGGAGGGAACAAGGTTGCTGATGAGCAAGGGAGCAGAACAGAGTTCCAGGCATGAAATTAGCATCATCACTCCACAGACAAAGGGCCGGGCCGCTGCCTGCCGAGGTCCTCATTCAGTGCTGCTGCAGACACCCCACAGCTCAGGTACTTACCTTCTCACTCACTTCTCCTTCCCCAGACCACGGAAGCCTTTCATCAGGCCTTTCCAAGAAAATTCATTCTGCAAGCACGATCTGAATCTCAGTGGCTCTCAGCTTGGAGTGATTTTGCCTCTCGGGGTACAATAGCAATGTCTGGAGACATTTTGGGTTGTGACAATTTGTGGGATATGGGGGTGCTACTGGCATCCAGTGAGCGGTGCTAAACATCCCACACTGCACAGGACAGACTCCATGACAAAGAGTGGTCCAGTTCCAACGTCAGCAGTGCTGAGGTTGAGAACCCTGGACTCAAGGAACCCTTGAGTGGTGCTAAAGCTTAGCTAGAGTTTGCAGTCTTTGTTCTGATTCACTGTGGGTGTCTCAGTCCTTTTGGGGCTGGGGGGAAATGACACCCCTGAAATATAAATGGAGGGATTCAGTGAGCACAGAGGGAAGGAAGAACTCCTCAGTTAATACTTCAGAATATGATCCTACCTCACTAGCACTCATAGTCCTGGTCGCCGTGATATGGGCTTCACTCACAACATCTTACTTAATCCTCACACCATCTTTAAAATACATAGTATTGCTACAGGTTGAGTATCCTTTATCTGAAACGCTTGGGACTGGAAGTGTTTGGGATTTCAGATTTTTTCAGATTTTGGAATATTTGCATATACATAATGAGATATCTTGGGGATGGGACCCAAGTCTAAATATGAAACTCATTTATGTTTCATATATACCTTATACATATAGCCTAAAGGTAATAGTATACAATATTTTTAACAATTTTGTGCATAAAACAAAGTTTGTGTATGTGAGGTCAGGTATAGAATTTTCCATGTGTAGCATCATGTTGGCACTCAAAATGTTTTGGGTTTTAGAACATTCCAGATTTCAGATATTCAGATTAGGGATGTTCAAGCTGTATCCCTATTTTATTGAAGAGAAAACTGAGGATTACAGAGGTTAAGCCCAAGGTCACTCAGCCCATAAATGACAGAACCAGAATTCTAACAATCAAGATTTCCTGGCTTCCCTCACCAGACTGTGAAATCCTTAAGAGTTTATTCCAGCTGAGGGCAGTGGCTTACGCTTGTAGTCCCAGCTCTTTGGGAGGCTGAGGCTTGAGGCCAGGAGTTCAAGACCAGCCTGGACAATACAGTGAGACACCATCTCTACAAAAAATAAAAATAAAAAAATTAGCCAGGTGTTGTGGTGCACGCCTGTAGTCCTAGCTACTTAGGAGGCTGAGGTGGGAGGATCACTTGAGCCCAGGAGTTCAAGGCTGATCATATGATCATACCACTGCACTCCAGCCTGGACAACAGAGGGAGACCCTGTCTCTTTGAAAAAAAAAAAAAGGTCATTCTTACCTACCTATTGCTGTTTCCCTAAATGTTCCATATATCAGATATCTTGTACCGTATCTGATATATTGAGCAAGAACATATTGAGCAAGAAATAGAGGGAAGGGAAAAAGGAATGAGGCTAGGAAAGCAAAAGGAGGTAAAAGGGGTTTAATAAAAAAAGAAAGGAGTGGGAGAAAGGAAGAAGGGAGGGAGAGACCCAGGAAGTGAGAAGGACAAGGCTGACTCCTCCACGACCTGACTACACCGATGCTGCTCAGTCTCCCCTGCAGTCTCCCCAGCGCTCTCTCCTCTCGCAGGTCCCGTCCTTGATCTGCAATGAAAAATGTCCTGTGGGAACCAGGAAGTCAACCCTATATGAAGAATCCAAATGCTGCTACCTTTGCCTTCCCTGCCCCAGAGGAGAAGTTGCAATGTCACCAGGTAAGAAGGGAGGCTGGCTCTCAGCTAGAGGGTGGCCAGCCAGCAGCCAGGGTGGGCTTCAGGTGAAAGCTCGTATCCACATCAAGGGATTCCTTAAATGGGAAAGAAAAGTCCAGGGAAGAGGAGACTGAAAAGATGATGTTAACGTGCCCTTCCCACATGCTGCACTAAAGCCATCTGAGCCGTTGCATTCGCTGTCTCATCAACCATGAGTTTGTCCAAATCCTGTACCTAGTTTAACATCTGGCACATGGTAGGAATTCCATAGGGCAACACACGTAACCTAAACATCTGTACCCCATAATATGCTGAAATAAAAAAAATATATATATATATTTTTCAAATGAAAAAAAAAAAAATCCCGCAAGGACCTAATCTGTATTTTACTAAGATGTCATTCATTCAACGGATATTAACTGGCACCTACTGCATACAGCCACTGTGCTGGGTGCAAGGGTGGCAAAAATAAGGCATGGCCCCTGGACCCATAGAGCTCACGACGTATTAAAAGGAGAATGATACTGTACCCCAACACCTAGCACAGCTCTTGCCTCTCAATAAAGAAACTGGACTACAAAGCGAATTCAATTGCTTTAATAAAAGTTCAAGCATCGAGCCATGAAAGCACAGTGGAACAATTAATCCTAATGAAGGGTGTGCAGGGAGACTTTCCACTAGAGGGGGTGGCATGTGATACAGGCCTTAAACAGCAAGCAGGGTTGCAAAGGCGATGAAGCATAACGAGACGAATTCAGGGAGCAAGTTATAAAAGGCCCGGGCATGAAAGCACTAAGGAGCCGAGAGTGTTTTGCGTATAGACTGTGATGAGAGGTGCAGGAAGCAGGTGGCCAGATCCTAGAAGGCCTCACTTGCCAGACTCAGGAGCGTGGACTCGACTCTGCAGAAAGCGGGGAGGGAGCCACTGAATTCCTTAAGGAGAGAAGCAGCGTGTATTTCCGTATGGGTTTGAGGGAGAGTGACTGACGACGGATGTGCTGAAAGGAAGAGATTAGAGCAGGAAGACCAGGCTCAGAATCCAGGTAATTGCTGAAGCCACAGGTCTGGACAGTTTTTTCTCACACTGAAAACTGTCCCTGGCCGGGCGCGGTAGCTCACGCCTGTAATCCTAGCACTCTGGGAGGCCGAGGCAGGCGGATTGTTTGAGCTCAGGAGTTTGAAACCAGCCTGAGCAAGAGCGAGACCCCGTCTCTACCAAAAATAGAAAGAAATTAATTGGATAGCTAAAAATATATAGAAAAAATTAGCCGGGCCTGGTGGCGCATGCCTGTAGTCCCAGCTACTCGGGAGGCTGAGACACGAGGATCGCTTGAGCCCAGGAGTTTGAGGTTGCTGTGAACTAGGCTGATGCCATGGCACTCTAGCCCAGGCAACACAGTGAGACTCTGTCTCAAAAAAAAAAAAAAACTGTCCCTGGGAACGTAAAGACCTTGGGAATACCTTTGTCCTTTCAAAAAGAAAGGTGCCATTAAATGCAGCTGAGGAGAAGCCACTAGATGCTGAAGGGAGGATGAAAGAAATGATAGTTAAGTAAAAATCCTTGGACGTGGACGTTGGCGGGACATGGAATCAAAGTATCCGGGAACACAGAGACATAACCAAATCAAGGAGAGAGGTCGAATGAGAATATAGGACGGTTCCAGGGCTTCAGTCCAAAATCTCTCCTTCAAATCACCGTGGAATGCGCAGCTCTGATGAGTTCTGTCAAGGGAGTGGCTTAGAGAAGAGTGTCTGTTCAACAAAAGAGTCCGTGTACACCGTAAGCATTCCACATACATTCCTTACCTTAAGTAGGCTGATGGGTGAACCAGTGAGTAAATTAATTAGCTGTGACCGTGAATTATAACCTTGCTGCAACTGTTGGTCCGTGCAAAGGGATGAAGCCTGGATAGGAGTTAGAGCTTCTGTGGGTTGTCTCAGTGTGATTTCGTGATTGTCTGATGCACGATAAGCTGCTGCTGTCAGGATTTCTGCCATCTGTGTCTCTGGCCCTGAGTCCGAGGACATCAGACAATCTGGAAGGCCCATCGTAATGAGACTGAAATACACTGAGCCTGCTGGGAAAGCCATCACCAGTCGTATAACTGCTTGACCACGGGAAGGTTTCCAGAAGCCTCCCCGCTCTGTGCTCTGACCCAGTTTCTCTTTCTCCCTTCAGACAGTGCTTCATGTCAGAAGTGCTCCGAGGACCAGTGGCCCAACGTGCTGCAGAGCCAACGCATCCCCAGAACTCTCGACTTCTTGTCCTGTGGTGAGCCCCTTGGCACGGTGCTGGCCGTCTGCACAGTCCTGCTCTTCCTCCCTGCCCTGGCCATCCTAGGCATCTTCATCTGGCACCACCACACCCCCATCGTCCGAGCCAATACCCGCCAGCCCAGCTACCTCCTGCTGTCCTCCTTGGCCCTCTGTTTCCTCTGCCCCTTCATGTTCATTGGCCACCCAGGCCCCTTCACCTGTGCCGTGCGCCAGCCAGCCTTTGAGGTCACCTTCACAGTCTGTGTGTCCACTGCGCTGGCCAAGACCATCGTGGTGGTGGCAGCCTTCCATGCCACCCGGCCAGACACTCAGATTAGGAAGTGGGCAGGGCAAGTTCTCCCTAGCACCGTCCCCATCATCTGTTCCATAGTCCAGGCAGCCTCATGTACACCCTGGGCGGCCAGATGGCCCCCACGGCCTGTGAACTCCACAGAGCCTAGGCCCACGGTGACTGTAAAGTGTGGAGAGGGCTCCTTGGAACCGTTCTACACCATGCTTGGCTACTTGGGTTTTCCAGGTCTGCTCAGCTTGCTGGTGGCCTTTCCCGCCCGCCGGCTGCCTGACACTTTCAATGAAGCAAAGCATATCACTGTCAGCATGTTGGGCTGCTCCTACGTCTGGGTGTCCTTCATCCCTGCCCACATGAGCGCCCGCGGCAAACACACAGTGGCCGTGGAGGTCTTTGCCATCTTGGCATCAGGAGCAAGCCTAGCGTCCTGCCTCTTCTTCCCCAAATGCTACATCATCCTTCTCCTCCCTGGAAAGAACATAAAAGAACAAAGGTTTGGCCGACCCTGTCTCAAGTGAGAGAGGCAGAAGTGGACCAAAGGAAGGGATGCCTTTTCCCCAGGGTTGGCTTTCCCGAGCTTCCCACCAGGAGGACACTCCTTCTCCCCAGCTCTGTCACACTGGTCTGAACCCCTCTTGTCACTGAACTGCTTCTATTTTATATTTCATTCTATCAGGGGAAGATGAAGCATATTTGCAGATAATATTGTCCTTGACAGAAGCATCTGGTCTAATTCATTCCATGGCCCCTCAGCACCCAGCCAGGGCCTGGCGCAGAGAGGAGACAGAGTGTGTCTTTGATGAGTGAATGGATCGGCTTATGCAAAGTTAGCACTAGAAGAGATCTTTAAGTGGAGGCGGTGAGCAGAGTGGTTGGGTGGAGTTGGACAGACCTGGTTCACATCCTCCTGGCTTCTTCATTTTATAGCTACATAAACTTGGGCAGGTTACCTGCCCTCTCAAAGCTCCAGTCTGCTCCAGTATTCAATGAGACTGACTAAGCCTCCTCTCCAGGTTGTTGTGATGACAAATCAAGAAAACGTGGGAAAGTGCTCAACACACACTAAACACTCAAAATGTGGATATTTAAAGTCAACCATCCACTCTGTCCTTTTACAGATAAGGGAACTAACGCCAAGAGAGGGGATCACTTTACTCAGGATACCATTGTACAGAAGTTTAGAGTCAGATGAACAGGATTCAAGCCCTAGCTCTGCCACTTACTTAGCTGTGTGACTTTGAACGTTACTTAGCTTCTCTGTACCTCAGTTTCCTCATGCACAAAGGAGAAGAATAGTAGCAACAACTTCATGGAATAAATGAATTAATATTTTTAAAACATTTATAATATATTACATGGCACACAGTAAGCACTAAACAAGTAATTGTTAAATAATTCAATAAAATCGTACATAGTAGGAAAACCTAGATCTCTTGATTCATTGCAGAATAACCGAAACTTTTATGAGGCCCTTGATCCAAGCTGGGTCCTGGGAGGGACCCTCAGAGAGGCTAAAGCAGCCTCCATACAAGCCAAGAGTTTGTGACCTAACATTTCCAACCTAGCCTGATTGGAGTGGACTAAATATACCTATTGTGAAACTGTTTTATAGGTAAATAACTTGTACGCAGTCTGGCTAGCCATTTGTTTTTGAGTAAGTGAGCACGGATGACTGGTACAGAGCCAGCAGCGTGACCACCAAAGCAAAGTCTGTTCTGAGTGAAGCCCCTCCACTTCCACAGAGTGTGATGATGCTAATGAAGCCCACAAAATACTGGCCGGGCACGGTGGCTCACACCTGTAATCCTAGCACTCTGGGAGGCCAAGGCAGGGGGATTGCTTGAGGTCAGGAGTTCAAGACCAACCTGAGCAACAGTGAGTCCTCGTCTCTACTAAAAATAGAAAAAATTAGCCAGGCGTGGTGGTACACACCTGTAGTCCCAGCTACTCAGGAGGCTGAGGCAGGAGGATTGCTTGAGCCCAGGAGTTTGAGGTTGCTGTGAGGGAGGCTGATGCCATGGCACTCTAGCCTGGGTGACAGAGTGAAACTTTGTCTCAAAAAAAAAAAAAAAAACCCACCAAATATTGAACATCAGGTAATTAAATGATAGTGTTCCTGGGCTGCTCCCTGGGGAGAGATAGAGCCTACTGGTGTTACACAGAATGTCTCAAGGTATTAAGGCATCCACATTTCTGGGCAATGAGACTCATTTTAAGTTCCTGCTAAAAGGGGTCTAATAAACTACCTTGCCAAGGCTGGCCAAGGATGTTATTTGAACCAACAAGAATGGAGCCACCAAAGAAAACAAGGATATAAAGAAAACTCAATTTAGAGAAAAAAGGAGCCATAGCATTCCACAGCCAAAGCCAACGTTTTGACAAACATGTCCTAGAAATTAACCGCTAAGGACTTGGCATGTGAAAATGGAAAAGCAAGAGACTAACAAAAGACTAAGAACCCTGAAAAATGAAACCGGAGTCCCAGCACAGGTGCAAGGGATAAGAACAACACAGAACCATGGAAGAGGGTCCAGATGGGCCTTAGTGGAGAGCCCTATACCAAAGCTTTTGGCAATGGTTATGCTATAGTACACAGAAAGCTGTAGAGTTCTGATTTCAGAGTGTAGATCCAGTCATTCCCACCAAGCCCCAAGTCAAAGGACCTTCTCCAGGGTGGTCACCAGGTAGTTCCTACCTAACAAGTCAATATCCTAGTACCCAGAATGGGCAAAATAAGATAATCAGCACTCCTTACTGAATTCTATCTTAATAAGCCTGCTTTATTCAGAATTACTCCCTAAGACATTCTCTGGGTACCAATAAAGTAGTATCCATAATATGTTAGGTTAGCACTGTGCATAAAGTATGTTTCACTCTATAAGTAGATATACCCCCGAAGAAGGAATTTTATTTTCATGAATTCCGTACCTACAAAAATATGCATTTTTCTAAACATGATTTTGTAATTTATCTTCATTGAAGATGATCTGCCATTAGTAGTGGCTTTAAAGACACTTTAGCTCTCAATACCTACACATATGCACCCCAGATTCTGGTAGGTGGTTTGTTTTTAAGGGAGTGATTATTTTAATTTTGTAATATAAATAATCGTACTTACAAAAGTGGTTTTTTTTGTTTTGGTTTGGTTTGGTTTGGTTTTCGAGTCAGAGTCTCTCTCTGTCGCCCATGTAGAGTGCAATGCCATCATCATAGCTCACTGCAACCTCAATTCCTCGGCTCAAGCGATCCTCCTGCCTCAGCCTCCCCAGTAGTTAGGTGCGCACCACCATGCCTGGCTAATTTTTTTCTATTTTTAGTAGAAACAGGGCCTTACTCTTGCTCAGGCTGGTCTCAAACTCCTGATCTCAAGCAATCCTCCCGCCTCGGCCTCCCAGAGTGCTTGGATTATAGGCATGAGCCACCAAGCCCAGCCGAAAGTAGGGGTTTTTTCCCAGTTCAGTTTCTTATATCAGGTTTTATTAAAGCAAGAGTCACTTTTACCCATATAGGATTCTTGCTAAAAGTATGCTTCAGAGTTTTTACCATTTTATGTAATTTGTCTCAAAACTATAGGTTTATTTTTCAAGAAGCTCAAAATGGTAGGCTTTACTGACACTTCCCATATAGTTATTCTTAGAGTAGTTCTCAGAATCAAGAAAATATTCCCTGTGTTTGCATTTGAATTCTTTCTGCTACAATAAATGAGAACTAGGTAACCCAACATGTTTCACTTTTTTCCATCAGTCAGAAACCTAAAAGTCTAATTCATTCACAAATGAATTAGTAGGTGCCTACTCAGCTCAGGCACCTAGAAGTCTACAGTAGGCATACCTCAGAGATACTGTGGGTTCGGTTTCAGACCACTGCAATAAGTGAATAGCACAATAAAGCAAGTCACACAAATTTTTAATTTCCCAGTACATAGAAAAGTTATATGTCTATTAAGTGTGCAATAGCCTTATTCATTATGTGTAAAAAAAATACATACCTTAACTAAAAAATATTTTATTGCTAAAAAGTGCTAATGATTATCTGAGCCTTCAGCAATCCTTAATCTTTTTGCTGGTGGAGGGTCTTGCCTCAATGTTGAAGGCTGATGACCGATCAGAGCGATGGTTGCTGAGGGTTGGGTGATTGCAGGCAATTTCTGAAAATAAGACAATCGTGAAGTCTGCTGCATCAATTGACTGCTCCTTTCATAAAAGATTTCTATGTAGTATGTGATGCTCTTTGATAGCATTTTACCCACAGCAGAACTTCTTCCAAAATTAGAGCCAATCCTCTCAAACCCCGCTGCTGCTTTACCAAGCGTATGAAATATTCTAGTCTTTTGCTGCAATTCCAATAATGTTCACAGCATCTTCACTAGGAGTAGATTACATCTCACGAAACTGCTTTCTTTCCTCATCCATAAGAAGCAGCTCCTCATTCATTCAAGATTTATCATGAGATTGGTGCATTTCAGTCACATCTTCAGGCTCTGGTTCTATTAGTAATTCCAGTTCTCTTGCTATTCTCACCACATCTGTCATTACTTCCTCCACTGAAGTCTTGAACTCCTCAAAGTCATCCATGAGGGCTGGAATCAACTTTTTCCAGACTTCTGATCACGTTGATATTTTGACCTCTTCCCATGAATCACGAATATTCTTAATGGCATCTAGAATGAAAAATCCTTTCCAGGTTTTCAACTCACTTTGCCCAGATCCAACAGAGGAATTACTATCTATGGCAGCTATAGCCTTATGAAATATATTTCTTAAATGTTAAGACTTGAAATTTGAAATTACTCCTTGATCCACGGACTACAGAATGGATGTTGTGTTAGTAGACATGAAAAAAAAAACATTAATTTCCTTGTATATCTCCATCAGAGCTCTTGGGTAATTGGGTGTATTATCAATGAGCAGTAATATTTTAAAAGGAATCTTTCTGCTGAGCAGTAGGTGTCAACAATAGGCTTAAAATATTCAGTAAACTGTGCTGCAAACAGATGTGCTGTCATCCAGGCTTTGTTATTCCATTTATAGAGCAAAGGCAGTGTAGATTTAGCATAATTCTTAAGGGCCCAAAGATTTACAGAATTGCAAATAAGCATTGGGTTCAACTTTAAGTTATCAACTGCATTAGTCCCTAATGAGAGAGTCAGCCTGTCTTTGAAGCTTTGAAGCCAGGCATTGACTTCTCCTCCCTAGCTATGAAAGTCCTAGACGGCATCTTCTTACACTAGAAGGCTGTTTTGTCTACATTGAAAA